ACAGAAAAAGGTATCTTTGTAACATCAATACCATTTGATGACAAGTTTGTGGCTTCTTTGTGTACAACAATTGAAAGCTTTTGGTTTGGACAAATCTTGCCTGTCATTGTACACGAGTTGACAGATGATTCTGCCACAGCCATAACTGGTGAGTAACTTTGCTTTATATGACACTTCTTAGGAAAAATGGTGGTATTTTAACCCACTTGGAAAAAAATAATAAAGTAGGGCCATTTTAAGCACAACATTTGCAACTTTGGGGGTTAATATGGTTTTTTTTCCAGTAAATGTTCCGAAAAAGGTTTCTGGAGTGAAAACCATATCAAATGTGACTAAGGAGTTGCGGAGTATGAATGTTGGTGACATTACTATTTATGAGACGTGTATAAATGGTCTAGAACCAATGCAAATGATCAATGATAACATTGTTCATATCCTGTTAAGGTACAGTATGTGTGTTATTTTCCACGTATATTTAAAGATCTATCAAGTATTGAAAAATAAGGTAACAGAAGCTTGTATAAACTGGACTAACTATATTAGGATATATTCATTGCAGGGATATCAAAGATTTCCAGATACCATTTGTGAGCACTTACTTTTATACTGCCCTGTCTGGGGAACAAGGAACCAACTCATTTAGGTAAATATGGTTATGGGAATTCTGCGGTTTTGTGTGTACAATTACAATGAGACACACACGAACAAAAGAAAATGCCTTGGGCTTGGAAGGTTTTGCATGAAATATTCTATTCATTTGTTCAGTTCTGAGAAAAACCCATGCACATACTGTACATTGTTTATTCTAAAATCTTATAGAAACACCAGACATCAGAATGCAAAGTGTTCTTTAAGCCAGACATGTGGAAACATGATTTTTTGATTATACCAATTAACAGGAGGTAATGAATAATCTAAATGTGCATTATGAACTCTTGCACTGTATCTAAGTCTGCAATCCTGTTACTTGTTAGAAGATGAAATTTATTAACCTCTCCCCCCTCCCCCTCCACACACAATCCCCTCTCCCAAATGAATGTGCTTTGGTGCATTTAATCTACATTATGTAATATGGTCATATTGTTAAGTGGTATAGCTCCTCTAATTAGTTGGAAACATTTCAGTTTCCTGATCATTCGCTCCACATGAACACGTACTCTGGCTATTCGTCTTGTCATTGTTGTCGCCTTTGATGAGATCTTGCCCTTGCCCATAACTGGGGGGGCTAGCAGTCGTGCATGTTTTAATGCAAGAACATCTTGCACATTAAAGCCTTTATCAGCCATAATGACATCCCCAGGATTTAACTGTTCTAGAAAGCCACATTGTATAGTGATTTCCTTATCACTGATACTTCCACTGTACAAGTTTGATACAAAATTTATATGTGGCACAGGCGACATTGAGATAAACAACTTAAATGTATTCCTGGATTTGTAGCTACTAAATGTTGACCTTTGGCTTGAGATCCGGCCAGGTTTTTCGATATAAAATTCAATACAATCAATTATTCCTCTCAGGTTTGTAATTCCACTTAGGGATGCTGGAATGCAAATGTTATTTAGTTCAGCCACTGTTGGGAATGACAAAAGGAATGATAGCTCCTTCTCTAAATATATAATCCATGTTATAAAAATTCTGCTGGCTGTTCCAGGAGCAATATCAAAAAGGTCAGCTAGCATCACCATGCTTGGCTTTCTCCTTAGCCTCACCAAAGTTAAAATTAGTTGTTCCCATGTGGTTAGTTTCCTCAAATTGTACTTGTTCTAAAAATAATAAATATCTAATAAAGTAGGTATTTACATTTTATAATTTTACAGTTTACTCCCATAACTTAATCAAATCCAATCTTATTTTGGAAATAAGATTGGTCTTTCCTTCAACCCACGAAACAATGATGTTCCTATATCCATTTGTTACTTTTTTTATGTCAAGCAATATTTACATTAAAGTCATCAAAAAGAAAACATGTAGTCACATTAAGTCCGGTACTTTGTTAGTAATCACCTTTAGATGTCCACTTTGAGCACCTTTCAGCCTTGTCCATTTTATCCCTTTCCACATGTACAACTTGTTTGCCTTTTCCTTGACAAGATTATACAAAGCTTGTAATACTTCATAATTTAACCCTGAAATAAGAAAGAAAATAAAACATACATGTGTGTATTTTCAGTTGAGTGTAAAAGTGAGTTAAATCATTCGGGTTAAATAATTGAATGTTGGGTGCCAAGTAATTATGAATTCTCCTAAAAAATAAAACAAACTCCAAAATTTTGAGTGAATGATTGTTCTAGTTGCTGGGTGGTTTGGGGATGTCACTCTTGCATCTGTTACTACATATTTAACAGGTAAATAGAGTTACCTGTATAATGAGCACATTTTGTTGGTTCGGTTATTTTCTGAACAAACAATGTCTTTAACTTGTCCTTATTTGCACATCCTTCATTTTGCATGACACCCTGGTCTTCAACTTGTTCTGTTGAGGTGTTTTTACTTGAATTAACATTTTCGAGGTCCACTTCATGTGTTTGACAGAAACTTTGGTCAGTGCGAGATGTTTCAATCAGCTTTTCAACGGGGCTATTTTTGCGTTGGACATCCTTTGTTGGCATTGTTGCTCCTAACGAAAGTAAAGCTTCTGCAGCTGACATTTCCCATTCATTCTTGAATCGCTTTCCATTAGTCTGCCGATGTTTTGGTGCTTTTCGTTTTCGTCGTAACCGTTCGATCTGTTAAAAATGGATGAAAATTAAGTAATATAAATCAAAACATATTTGAAAATGAATACAGCTAACATCTATCGACTGAAAATCTATTATAAACAACCGATTATTAGTACGCAGAATTCTAAATAAATAACTTACTTTAAATTTACTAGCCGTGCGTAGCAGGTATAGGATCGGGATTTTCCGCTGTTGGTCCATTCTCCCCAATAAAATGAAAACCACATATATAGCTGTCCTTCCGATATACAAAATTGTCACCTCGACAACATGCCCTAATCCAAATCTCTCTCCTTTCTTTCGATTTCTTCACATTTGGGAAGCTATAAAACGACACTGATGTTCCATCGTCCTTTTTTAATCGTGCTGGATATCTTGAATCACTTTTACATGTGCCCCAAGCACATCTTTTTACCATATTTATAATTTTAGCGAAAGATAGTCAGGAATAACATATACCTTCTACGTTCTTGCAAATGCAATCAGGCCTTTCGATATTTGCTAGGATATACTAGCAAGAGTTATAATAAACCCGCACATCCGACACACTAAAAAAACTTTCGAGATCGGCTTTACAAATACTTTTTTTCGCCTTTTTACTCCGCGCACGTGTATATAATTTAAATAACAATCTGTGAAAGTTGTCCGAAAATCTGAAAATTTGGTCACGTGACAGTATCAAATATTTCATCGCAGTAAAGGTGTATTTTCAACGGGAGCAGTTTTTCTGCTACTCCCTCACCTCCCTTTCCCTTAAACGCTGGAAAACATTAAACATTTCGCCCACATACAGCGTATAAGAAGAAATTGAGTTCATCACCTATTTTAATGCACATGCTTCAGTATTTTTCCTAGCTGGAATCGAAGGTTTCATGAACAAGATTAATTAATATTCGATTCTTTAAGCTAGCAATTACGTTATGAACGAAAAAACTCGTTAGATAAATATATAGATAAATTTTGTAATGATTTTTACAACTCACACGCAATTAGGCATGCATAATTGCATAATTATAATGTTTTTATAAACATGCTGTCTGGCCGCGCTGACTAATTCCTATATAGTTGGAAAAATACAAAACTATCAGAGACCAAATTCGGAAGCCGGTATATGTGTAATGAATTAGTCCAGCATAAATTATTTTCGTCAATCATTTTCTATAGGGTCAGTTTTCCTGCCACTCCCTCTAAAACACATGAAAACATTTTGCCTATATATATGCACGCATCAATGCATGTCTAGATCACTAGTAAACCCTTTTGTTAAAAGAAGTTTTTATTTTCTATTTACGCGAGGTAGTAGGATCTTGACAGTGGTGTACAAATGTTCATTAATGTTGTCTTCTTGGTCTTCTCTTGCTCTTCGGATTCTTTGTCCTTTCAGATTCTCGTTGTTTTCTGTCGTGTCTTTATCGTTAGTTCAGTAGAGTTGAGCTTCTCTAACGTTTCACATGCTTTTTACTCCGTTATTTGGTACACTGAGGGTTCGGGTGTTGTGCACGCCCTTTTATGGAAACGGTTAAGAGAAACTTGCACACGTCATTGTAGGATATCGTGTTAGTATCGATATTTATTCACCTATGTTTCTAGATATATATTACACTTCTAACGAAAATATTACTGTTTACTCGAAGACTCCGTATTCCGTTTATTTTTATATATATATTATTTGTCCTTTTATATGTCTCTGTTCGTACGCATGAGTACCTAATTATGCGCATATTTAGTTCTATTTTGTTACTGAGGGATCGTTATTTGCTACGACACTACATCCCTCCCCTCTTATATATTTTTCCCTCTATTATGTATGAAAATCCTTGTATATTGTTTGCTTTGTCGATATTCTATTCCTCATTGGTCGTGGGCTCCTCTGTCTCGTCGGCTCTCTCTCTTCTCTATCAGGTTGCATCTGCCTACTTAATGATGGTTGCCATTTATTGTCGCTTTCTTCATCCTCAGCGCATTTCAAACGTTTACACTTCGCTGTATTTCTGCATAGTATAGTCTCTCCTTTCTGAGCTGTTATCATCGAGCCTTTCCTTGCGATCACCACAAACGGTTCCGGATTATAACGAGGGGTTAAACTGTCAATTTTGTCCTGCTCCACAAGTATTTTGTCTCCCACTTCGATGTGTATCGCTTTGGTATGTCTCCTGCTGTCTGCATAGGCCTTGCACTTTTGTTTGGCAGTTGCGTCTCTTTGTCGGATGGTTGCATCAGATACTGTCTTCTTCTTCATTCGAGGTGGTAGACGACCATTCAGTTCCCTCCCAAAGATCAACTTGTTGGGGGTTTCTCCGGTGTTTCCATGTGGCGTGTCTCGATAGCTTCTGATTGAATTTCCTGTCGGATGTTCTTTCCTTCTATTTTCGCTATCTTCGCACTTTTTTTTATGATTTGAATCATTCTTTCGACATCACCATTTGCCTCGGCCCATTTTGGAGTAACTTTCCGGTGTTTAAAACCCAGCGTTTTTGCAAATTCTGAAAATTTTCCCGAGTTGAATGGTGGTCCATTATCTGTCTTTATCTCTTTTGGAGTACCATATGTAGTGAAGATACGTTCCAGCACACGTATTGTTGTTTCTGCCGATGTTGTGGTGACGAATTCGACTACTGGGTATTTGGCATATTGATCCCACATTACCAATATCGTATCTTTGTTTGGTAAGGGTCCCGCGAAGTCCATGCTGACTTTTTCCCATGGTCCATCTGGTAGTTCTGTCATTTGTAGTGGCTCTCTGTTATTCAATGGCGTAGTTGCTTGACATCCCAAACACTTGTCCGTGTAGTTTTTCACTGCTGCATCTATTCCCGGGAACCAGACGTGTGCACGGAGCATTTGTTTAGTTCGTACTACTCCTTGATGTCCTTCGTGGGCAATCTGTATCATTCGTTTCTGCAACTTGTCTGGGACTACCATTCTTTCACCTCGCATGATCAGGTCGTCCACCAATGCCAGTTCCTGGAATACGTTTTATATCCACTGATATCCTCTGTATTCACCATTTGTCCTCTTTTTATGCATTGCGACAGTTTTCTCATTGCTGGGTCTTCTTTCACAGCTTGCTTCATTTCCTCTATACTAATCGAGATAGGCACGTCATTTTGGAGAATATAGTTCACATATTGTTTTACTTCCTTACTTGTACTTAGCTCTTGCTTGGTACACTCCTTACGCGGTAGCGGGTGCCTTGAAGTATAATCGGATATGTTGCTCTTTCCCGGCCTGTATTCTACCTTGAAATCGTAGTCCACAATCCTTACCAAGATTCTCTGTAGCCGTATTGAGGTTTGATGTCTTGGATTATTTATGATTGCTTCTAATGGTTTGTGGTCCGTGATTATTGTAAAAGGTATTCCGTATAAATACAGGTGAAATTTCTTACATGCGAAATCTACAGCCAGGGTTTCCAGCTCAATCTGTGAGTACCTGCTTTCTGTATCTGTCAACGAGCGGCTTGCGTATTGTACTACTCGCCACGGTCCCTCTTTGTCACTTCTTTGCACCAGTGTTGCTGATATCCCCAGAGGACACCCATCTACGTGAACTTCGTGTTCCGCCTTGGGATCGAAGTACACTAGGCTGGTCTCGTCACACAATCCTTTTTTTAGGTTTTCGAATGCTCTCTGGTGTTCAGTTTCCCATTTAAAATGTTCGTCTTTCAAAAGGCTCCTCAATTTTTCAGTCGAAGGTGCAAATCTTTTCATAAATCTAGCGTTATACTGCACTGTGCATAAAAATGAATTAAGTTCCTTGGCATTCCGTGGTGGAGATGTTGTTTTGATTGCCTGAACTTTGCCCGGGTCTGGGCTTACTCCGTCCTTCGAGAATACTAACCCGAAATATAAACACTTGTCTTTGCTAAATTCGCACTTCGATTTATTGAAAGTAACCTGTTTATCTTTCGCTGTTTCAAGAAGTAGTTCTAGTCTTTCGTCGTGCTCCTGTTGATTTCTCCCCGATACCAGTATATCGTCGCTGATATTAATAACGCCTGGTATGTGCTGGGTCAGTTCTTCCCGTATTTTGTTTTGAAATATGTCACCAGCTGATTTCGTCAGCAACAAGAATGAACTGATCCTTATCCAACCAATCAGCTTTGTAAGTTAGAAATGCGGGTTAGTCTTAGAAGTTCGTTCCAGCTCTCGTATCTTGTTTGTTTAAGGCGTTGCCGCACAAGTCTAGTTGGTCTTCTGCTCAATCGATCAATACCTAAAAATGTTCACAAATTAAAATATTTATCATAAACAACTAGTAAAATTTACAAACAATACCTCTGTGAACAATATCTTTCAACTTAAACTATTTTCACTCTCATTTTATCGAATTGAGCTTTTGATGACGTAATCTATTACATGCTTGACCGAGCAACATTTTTAACACAATTGATTGACATAAGAACTTGAATGCCCCACAGCACGCACATTTTTTTTCAAAAAATGCGACGATTAAGATAAGTGACGACTTAAGACTGTTTATCCAGGTATTAGTTCTGAGAGGGTGATAGATATTTCACCTTATTACTTATATAATCCCACGACATGTCATACATGAAAGGGAAATGCGGTCAATGATTGCTAATGGGCGAAAATTATATTTACTCAGGCGTCTTGTGGCAAAAATCATTCACTAATCCATGTAATGCTATTGATATTCCTATTTTTCCAGCTATGTTTATATATGCATATCTCTAAACACAATAAAGCCTTGCGTGACACTTTGAAGGTATAGATATTTTTGATAATTATTTTCGTATCTGATGCTTCAAATAGATTAATATATTTCTCTTTTTATACCCGATTTTAGATTAGTAGATTAATATATTTCTCTTTTTATACCCGAATTTACATTGGTGTAAATCGTTCTAACTTAATTCCCATTAAAACAATGGCGGATCAGTTTAATTTTAACTTTGTACCTGGAATAGTTCTTTCAAATGTGATGTCAATTACTCCGAAAATCGATGAAATAATACCTGTTCTCCTAGATCTAAAAATAGATGTCGCTGCATTTACAGAAACATGGCTGAAAGACTCAATCCAAGACACTGTTATTGACATACCAGGATACAGGATATATAGAAAGGACCGTAATGGTGGGTCACATGGTGGAGTCTGCATTTATGTCAGGAATGAAATTCGTACCACCACTTTAAATAATCTCCACCATTCAAATCTTGAAGTTTTGTGGATTAAAATAAGACCTAAACGTTTACCTCGTGGTATATCCTGTATTTTCATAGGTACAGTTTACCACCCACCAGCGTCGGACAACCAAGCCATGATCAATTATCTTACTGAAACACTAACCAGCATTGAGGCTAACAATTCGAACTGCGGCATTATAGTTATGGGAGATTTAAATAGATTAAATACTAGCCGTATCAATCGCCAGTTTAAATTAAAACAGCTCGTTAAATTCAATACTAGGGGAGAGCGTACTCTTGATGTTATACTAACAAACTTGAGCCAGTTTTACGATCAACCTGAAAAACTCCCTCCATTTGGTCTGTCCGACCACTTTACCATTAAGGTTCTTCCGATGGAAAGGTCAAGGAAATCAGACAATTTCAAAATTCTACGCACTAGAGATATGAGTCAAAGCAATAAAATGGCACTGGGCAGAGTTTTGTCTTGTTTCGATTGGTCATGCCTACATAACTTGAGAACCTGTGAAAGTAAAGTCACCCTCTTCAATGATGTTCTTACTACCACCATGGATATTATAATGCCTATAAAAGATAAGAAAATTTGTACAAGTGATGCACCTTGGATGACTGAGAAACTTAAATCTAACATTCGAAAACGCCAAAAGGCATTAAAAGAAGGTAATCAAGATGCCTTCAAGTATTACCGCAATCAAGTTAACCGTGAACGAAAAAGGTGTAGACAAGTTTATTATTCAAATAAGGTAGAAAATCTTAAGCACGCGAAGCCCAAAGATTGGTGGTCTGCTGTTAAGAAAATTAGTGGCATGAGTCCTCTTCATAAACCAGAGTTACAGTCAAACGTCCAAATTGAAATGTTTGATGGCATGAATAATTATGAAATTGCTAACACTATAAACAACCTGTTTCTCGAACCTTTGAATGATTTCCAACCGTTAAATCCTACCCCCTCCACGACTGGAAATGAGAACACAGGAATAATGACTCCGAACAGCTTACATGTCTCCGAGGAAGACGTCTATGAAGTTTTGAAATTAATAAATCCTTTCAAAGCATGTGGCCCCGATAACATCTCTTCATGGGTTTATAAGCAATATGCTGATATACTTTCCTTACCAGTCAGTATCATTTTAAATAGTTCGTATGAAGAGGAAAAGTTACCCTCTGTGTGGAAAACATCTAACGTCGTCCCTATTCCCAAAATAAAACCAGCAGAATCAGTAAACAAGCATCTTCGTCCCATTGCCTTAACACCTATAATATCCAAGATAGCTGAGGAATTTGTAATTAAGGAGCACCTCAAGCCAGCCATCTTAGAAGTCCTAGATCCTGACCAGTTTGGTGTTATCCCAGGAACGTCAACGAGCCATGCCCTGATCAAGCTAATTCATAAATGTGACCTTCCACGGGAAAACGTACGTTAACGATATTTCGTTGAAACGGCAAAACGAACGGATAACGAACGGGTAGTGAACGATCTGTAATAACGTTTCAACGAACCCAAAAAACGTTTTGACGAATTCAGCTAAAAATGTGAACGTTTAAAGTCGAGAATACGAACGGACAAATAAACGTTCAATCTGAAGCCGTTTGAACGATTTATGTTTATGAACGGTTTTAACGAATTAGTCTGAACGCCTGTTGCGCGTATGATTGACGCAAGATATTATTGACTAATTAAAAGAATAGGAAATATTTTCAAACACGTAACATGTGTTGGCGCAAGTAAGCGTGTAGCTACATATAAATAGCTATACCTTCATTTGAATGTTTAACTAAATTTATTAGCTAAACTACCTAAATCACTTTATTTTATACTTTATATACATATATACATTTGCATTTTGCATCAAAATTTGGGTTTATTAATCGTTAGAAAGCCTTCAGTTATTAGTACAAATTATCATCGTTACGTCAAATTAATCAATGCATCATCTGCAACTATACCATCAAAATATTCAGCGCGTGTTTATTTGCAACAACGTAACAGATTTTGTAAATCTCTCCACGGACAAACTATATGTATGGGTGGTTAAGGACATATAAACACATCATGCATGCATCCGTTTTATTAACACGGCTCTAAACCGAGAGTACTGACGAAGATTGCCATTTATGGCCTGGCTTCGATAATAATATCATAGGCAATGTCATTGGTCACCGTCTAAGTTTGGTTGAGTTTCAGCTACTGGATACATATTTTATGTTAAACTAAACACAAGAGATTCCATTGTACACTATTGCTTATACTCTTTGACGCGCAAACGACTAAATTAATTATCGCAAGGATCAAGTTGTTTACAGATGATAACCAGACATTAATAACAGTTATACAGAATATCGCATACGCAAAGCTCGTTTGTATACGAACCAGCGTAGTAACGTTTGCTTGCATGCTGTCAAAACTTATTTGTTAAATAGCCTACTACATTAAATATCCCAACCATTTATGCACGTGAAAATCCACATTTCAATTTCAGCAATGCATTGCGCGGTAATAAAATATTTAAAATATAAGCTTGGATATTTACCTAGTGCTCACAATATGTTCCGTGCGGCATAGCCTCTAGCTGCGGTAAGCTTGTCGCGGAATGTCGCCTATACACAGTACTGTCAGTAGCAACTAAGGCATCATTATACCTTAAGAATATTTAAAAATTTGATAATAATCTATTTTATCCACTGCATGCACCATCGCCATATTTTCTTCGCTAAAGCTGCAATGTCCCTATTTCTGCCGCCATATTTTTTC